AATCATAGGTTTGAACGTTGTTTTCAATTTAGACTTTTTATATATGCAAGTGTTTATACATTAGGCAATTCGGGTAAAGGGGTATTATTTTGTGGGTATTGCTTAAAAAATAACAAGCCAAAAAGGGCAATGTTTGAACAGAACACTATTTAAGGGGGGTCTTAAAGCAAATAATTGATATTTTATTCTAAATAATAGACTGGAAAATGGACCAGAGCATAAACCCACTCTCGATCCACTTCCTATGTCAAACTACAGCATATTTTTTTTCAGATTTCGTATTTGCTTCTTAAATTCTGAACAAGTTTGTGATGAAATATTTATTTTTCCCTCTTTAACGCATTTTGTAGTATGTTTAGATGTTCAGTTTTCTCCCATATCGCACACTTGTGAGATCCATTTCTTTGTATCATGTACATTCTTTCTTTTTTTAAACAAACCAAACAAGTTGGAATAACGTTCAATGTAGTGTGCTTTAATCGAAGCTAGTACACATATATAATAATGACAGGCGGATTGGGGGTGACCTATGTTGCTCAAATAATTGTGAATATGATTTTACAGAAGTGTTTCGGCTCTTCAGCTGATCCCGGAGATTCTTTTTTGTTAATGTAAAGGTTTATATATAGAGAAAGTGATAAGTGTCGTCGGTTATAGGACAGCTCTTCTGTAACTCCTTCGAGAAAGTCTCACGAGAAATAGATTTTCTAAAATCGTTAACTTATAAACTGATTTGTCAACTACATATATCTTAACATCATCCATGTTGGTCAAGCTTTATTTTCAAAACATTAAGAAAAAACCTGTGAATTTTGTTTGATTTTATTTATTAAATATGAAAATTTTAAATCTTTGTCTGGATCAATTGCTGTCATAGAGTTTTATTTTTTCTTTGACGAATATAATGATCAGTGCTAGCACAGCATATTTTTTATTTTCCAGACTGTAGCTTACTGTTCCTCTTTTACACGTTTAAAGTGATCAAAATACTCTGAACAATAGAAATCCTTTGGTGTTTTCTAAAAAAATTAACAAATTCAATTTGTCTGTGCTCTTTGTGACTTACTTTTCAAAATATTTCAGTTTGTTTGGGATAAAAAGGGCAAATAAAAGAAATCTCTGGATTATATATATTGCTGAAATGGAAATGCAGTTTCTATTATCCAAATAGATACTGTTTTTTTTTATCTAAAATAAATTATTTAAAACAATGATATTTTATCATTTTTTTAAATATAAATTTCCTGCATGCTCAACGACGGAACCGGCAAAGAGACATGATCTTTCTACCTTAGTTGAAAGCTACTATATGTTTCACACACTGAGTCAAAAGCGTTAAAGTTCTTGTAATTTTAGTTTAAAGTTGTTTTTTTCTTTCAAAATTCACAAATATCCATAAAACAATTATTCAGAACTGTGAATATTTTGTCGAGGACAGTGCGATGCAATATACAAATTTTACATATCTTGTAAAAATTACCATTGAAAGACACTGTGAACAAAATGAATGTCATATCATATATGTAACTGAAAGGCAAAAACATTGCTTACATTGGAATATCCTCATTCAGTTTATTTAAAGTCAAAATATGAATAATAGTTAACGTTGAGTATACTCGTGAAAAATAACCGAAAGCCAAAATTAGAGGACGGAGGATGGGGTGGTGTGGTAGGGGTGTGGGCATAAAGTTTTCAACAATAGACAATATAATGCTCTAAATCGTAAGTTTGCCAAAATCTAAAAATATGCAGTCCTGAATTATATAATTTGATTTCATGACATAATTAAAAAGGTTATTCCTACGATATCAATTTTGAAGTTGCATTTTAATGGGAAAGTAGAAACAAAAAGAACCGATTCTATAATCGTTTTACTCATAAATTATCTATCATGCATGCGCAATTATGGAAAGAAATGATAAGTATTATTCACTCAAATGTTTTATGATGCAAATAAAAGAAAACAATTACCAGTAACCATAAGTTAGCGCTGTTACCTATGTAGATAATGCTTTAGGTCAAATTGGTGGTTACGTTCGCTTAATGGTGGGTTTTGATGGTCTGATGTAAAACAAAAACACACAAAAATTATTTTAAAAAATCTTTCAAAAGATTAAAATAAAATATGTGGACACTCGAAGCTAGTGCAAAATTAAAACATAATATATACGCATGTGTAGTTGGCTTGATAAATTATTTGATTAAGAATACTTTTTTCGGTGATGATGGTGATTATTGTGGTTGGGGTTTAAATTCAAGTGGCAAAAATTCAAGACGAGAATTTTATTTGCTTAAGACTAACGCGCTGATCTGGAATTTTAACGTGCTAATTTAAAAGGTAACAGTTCGCAGGAAACATGTCACCCTACCCAGACACACTATTCTGACTCTGTGTCGACCTTTGTCTTTACTATTACTCATAAATGCTGTTTGCTTAGCGTAGAAACAGCAAATACCAATTTAAAAGTCTTTGGTTTGACCCGACAAGGCGTCGAACCCTCGAGGCGAGCACGCTACCACGAGCTTACCGAGATGATTTTGTTAGGTTGAAAATTGGCGTCAAACTATGCAAGTTCAGCATGGGTGTATTCTTATTTATGTGTGTGTTTTTCATCCTTGTTAGCTGGTAGGTTTTGAAATTTAACATTATCTTTGGAAAATTTTTGTAGATCAACAAAATTAGAATTATGAAGCGCAAAATTTCTTTGCAACGCAATTTTCTTTTGGAAGGACTATAGATTTAGGGAAAATTGACTTTGCATTAGTTTCACTCACGAGATTAGAATTCAAAAGTTGATGACAAACTAGTATAATTTAAATATCCAATAGTCTGAATGATATATATAAAGATATTGCGAAATATGTTTATAAAATGTTATTTAGAACTTCGCAATGCTGTTGAAGACAATTTTGATAAACTATTTCATATGACATTTTTTGTTTTACTTTGCTTCGATGGAATCCATAACGAAGCAATCATGTATCTGAAAGACAATACATATTTTAACTTCCCTTTAGAATTTTGATTGGATTGTCCTCCTCATTCGTTTTTTTTTTTATATATGAATTCTCGAAACCGGACGAAACTTTTCAAATTGCAGTTTTGGACCCCAATTATAAAGTAATTTAGAATATAGCTAAAGGTTAAAAAGTAGGATTTACTGTTGTAATAACCTCAGAGTATATTTATGAAGCTGCATGTGCTACTATATTTTGAGTAAAGACTCAAGAAATCGAATTACTTCATTATGTTTTCTATATTTCAGTAATGTGATGATTAAGGTGCCACTGACGACTTGCAGCAAATAGTACGGAATATACATATATATACATATATAATGCACCTCATTGGTTTTACTCAAATAGTACGGAATATACATATATAATACACCTCATTGGTTTTACTCAAATAGTACGGAATATACATATATAATGCACCTCATTGGTTTTACTCAAATAGTACGGAATATACATATATAATGCACCTCATTGGTTTTACTCAAATAGTACGGAATATACATATATAATGCACCTCATTGGTTTTACTCAAATAGTACGGAATATACATATATAATGCACCTCATTGGATTTACTCAAATAGTACGGAATATACATATATAATGCACCTCATTGGTTTTACTCAAATAGTACGGAATATACATATATAATGCACCTCATTGGTTTTACTCAAATAGTACGGAATATACATATATAATGCACCTCATTTGATTTACTCAAATAGTACGTTTAACTCACCAAATCAGCAAAACCAACCATCTTCTACATGTAAATGAGAATATTTATTCAAAAAAAATCTTTAAATTTTATATCGTGTTTAAAATCAAAATTTGTATGATAACTTGAACAAGTGAATAAACGATTTGCGTGAACCAAGTTTCAATTGAGACTTCTGTGGCATATTTATTTGTACTTTTTAGTCATTTCTATAATGGTGTTGATCATTAAGATTTTCTCTGAAACAAAGTATTGTGTATTGACAAAAAAGTTTTAATTATGCATAAGACACTTTAATTCAACTTTCAATACCATTAAGGCCCATTGTTTCTTTATCAATAATACATATTAATGGACGATAAATGTCATTTCAGTTTAAAGCCCCTGGTGATATCATTATGTCAAAAATATGGATTTAGAAATCAAATCTGTATCATTTGTTAAAATGATCATGAACTGTTATGCAATTTCTTACCCTGGATTCAGAAAAGAAATCGCTTTTTGAATTATCTCCGTCTTTTATTCTTAACTCTTTTATTTCTTAACCCTTGATAAAATATACCGTACTCAAAATCATTAGGGGAAAACGATAAATACTAAAATATAATGTATTCTTATATGAACAGATGCTGTTTAAGAATGACAAAATAATTTCTTACATTTTGAACATAAACATTCTTGAGTTTAACCTGAGAAAAGTATACCTATACTTTATGTCCCAGATTTAACAGAAAAGAAAAGAAATTTTATTTTGTATTCAAATAATTTAAATTATATGCCGTATTTAGAAGGAAAAAAAAACTACAAAATACAACACTTGTCTGAATAAAAATGTTATAAAGTGTTTGTTTGTCTTTATTAAAGAGTAATGGTAAACTGAAGCTAGCAGGGGGATTTCTATTGTATGTGTGAAGTGTAGCACAATTATATTGTTATGGAATAGAGATAATATTCTCCAGATGGTTCAAATGTCAAATGACAAGTGGGCGTGACTTTCTTTACTACAACACGTGCTTTTGTTTTCATTTTAAATTTATTGAAAATGCAATAAAATGCATTCTTTGTCAATCTGCGTTGATGAATACAGCAGAATATATAAAAAAGATTTACATTTCTAAAATAAATATATAATCTTTTTCATTACAATTTGCTGAAAACTGGTACCGTGAAATCGATATGGTTGTTTGATTTCCTGATGAGATGAAAATAACATGTGCTAGTGGAATTATCAATGACCCTTAATATCCATTGATTGGTTTTCACATTCCCACAGTTGAAGTCCCGTTGGTAAGGAGGCGGTCATCATTGGAATCACAGAAGCTGATTGGTTGATCAGGTGCCATCTTAATCGTAAAACAGTTTCCCGTGGGATATATTAGCATCCTTAGGGACATAATAGTTACACCATACACTGGAAAGCAACAAAAGCCATACCCGAGAGAGTTTGTTCCAGAACCCGAGTGAGACGTCAGCCCGTGTAAACAATAACAGTTTTGTCAAAACTTTTTATTCAATGAACAGCAAAAATATTTCGACATTTTTAACTCGGAGATAATAGCTATTGGTCTATACTGAAGTTTGAAAATAGTATGTGTTTATTGTGATCAAAAATAATAAATAAATGTAAAATATTATGATAAAATTTAATATTTGACGAAAGGATTTCATGTTTGGAGTGACCGAGCCCGTTCCATCAAGAGAATTAAATACCGGTCCCATGAAGGAAGAACCTCATCCCGTTGGTCAGAGTAATCCCGTGAGAAACTGGATGCAGCCTACAGTCGTAGACCAAACCGCAAGGTAATAAATTATTATTTCTTATATTTAAAAACAGATCGCAAGCTGTATCTTTTTAACTTGTTTTAAATATTTTTACATTTACGCGCTACCGTTTTTTCAGGAAAAATTTAAATCATCAATGAAACCCCCAGAGTGTATTTTGTTATCTGTCGTTTCAATTCCCAGGTAAGATTGTTACAAGAAATTGCCAAAATTCTCACTGGACTCGTCCTGTTACTTTTCTCTCTGTGTTTCCCCATTGGAATTTATTATCAATATATATACTTATTTGCAGTGTTGGGTTTGGCAGAGCTCACTTCGAGAAACAACCGCCCAGCAATTTACGCAAAAGTAACTTCTTTCATTTTGTGTTAGCTTTATATGACAGACAAGGACAACCCATAGAAGTAGAGAGGACAGCATTTATAGACTTTGTTGAAAAAGAACAGGTAATATATTATTTTCATTTTTTCTTACAAGTGACCGATTTTCTAATTTTTGTGATATTAAATATATTTCAATAGAAAATGTCCTTTCGTAAAATAATTTCTATGTGAAATTTTCCCCGTTGAATTTGCATTTTAAAATATGTGCAATATAAAGCTAAGGGCATACAGTATATCTAACAAAAAATCTTATTTTTTCAGGAAGTTGAAGGACAGAAAACAAATAATGGAATTCACTACCGATTACAATTATTGTATTCTAACGGTAAGGTTTTTATTTTATTATCATTCACTATTTGTTTATTTATGCAGCTCTATTAAAAATATTGACAATAAATAACAATTTTATATGCGTGAAATAAAAAAAAATAAGGGGAATTTTATTGAATGAATAATAGCAAAATTGGAATATTTTGTTTTCATAAGTACCATAAAATCCGTATGAAGGTTTATTAACCGTAGCAAAGATCTTTGATGACAAATTATTCAATGCATGATAAAATTGTTGTTAGGACATTTCATAAAAATAAAATTTCCTAATAACCAGAATTGCGTGCAGGTAATTTTCATTAAAGTGATATCGACCACCATGCCTTAAAGTCTCATCTTTGTCGTCTGTCTCGTAACATTTTTTGAGTGATTTCAACGGTCAGATTTAACAGGGATTAAAACAATATTTGTTTACAAATGCTTTAATCGGATGTTTTACCAATTTAAATTCAAAACCACACGTGTTAAGCGTACCGTTAATGCAGAAACAGGGACCTTTAACAAAATATTGTAAATTATGATTATACGATTCGGAATAACATGTGGTATATAGAAAACATGTGGAAGTTTTAAATTATAAATGAATATTGACTTTCCGTGTTAAAAAGGCAATGATGGTGACGATTAACAATATAACGGTTTTATTCTGAGTTTGGTCGATGAAAGTGAAATAAAACAAAAACAAAACCTGAAGAATTATAAAACTGACAGCCCCAATTCCCTTGTGGTTTTCTTGTTAGTTCTAAGTAATTCAAATAATAACATGTTTTAAAAAAATCTTACAGTAAAAATATTTCTCGTATAGTCTTATATAAAATATAAATTTTGGTATCAAGATTTTCAATTACACGAATAAATTTAGCCAAATAAAATCAAATTTTATTTTTTAGTACAAGCGTTTAACAACAACAAAACCTATCTGAATAATCTATTACAAAATACATTTCATCCAATATTCAGATGCTATCTTATTTATTCTCGATGTTTATAATGACTGTATGCCATGAATTTTTGTAAATTTGAATAAGATATTAATTAAATTGTTCATATCTTTGTCCTTTGGTTCTTATGGACAATTGTCTCATGAAAATAACACTTTATAAATTAGCTGCGTCTGGAGCGCTTTTATTCAACATCCTACATTAGGAACGCTCAAACACAAGTTTTGTAATAAATATTTTCTGTTCCTATTCTTTTTTGTCCTGTTGCTTTTTTCTCCTTATTGCTTGTTATTTTCAGTGCTTGTGGTATTGTTTTGCCATTGATTTTTTATTTTAAATGTGTTGCATAGTCGGTACCTATGTGGTTAAATTAAATCCGGTAATGCGTTCTAACTAAGTTAAGCAAGACTTTTTTCAAATTTTTAAACTGAAGGCTTGATTTGTGGTTTTCTCTTTTGACAGGTGTTCGACAAGAGCAGGACCTATTTGTACGACTCATTGACTCCGTTTCCAAACAGGTAAATTTTGTGATATTTATCGTAATGTAGCAATTAAACCCAAAACAAATGAAGCATAAACGATCATCACCCTTTTGTTTTTTCTTCAATGGTAATGGAACCAATACAATATCTATCGAATTTTCAATGACTTTGTAAATATTTGTTTTATTTTAAATAGGATTTCCTCTTTCTGTTTCCTCACCAATCCTCGTTGTTGTTGTCATAAATCATAATTATATTTCAAGGTTGGATGCAGGGTTAATTTGTATAAATGGAAGTAAAGTTGTCCTAATGATAAAAATTGTCACAATCTTTTTCACTGTTTGCCGAAAAAATTAATGATGACGACCCCAGTTAATTGATCACTATGAACAATAATTTAATCACTTCAGTTCGATACAAGAATTTCTGTTTTGTATTCCGTTAATTTCGGAACATATGGCAATAAAGACGACCGACTTTGTTAAAGATGTAAATGAAATTCCAAACAATTGTTTAATTCCGTCTATTACCAGTCATGGGCGCGTGCCGAGTTCACACAATCCATCCATTTGAACATAACTACAGGCTCAATTTGACGGAACTAATTCACTGAAAGAACGTGATAGATATAACCATCTAGATTACCAAATGGCAAGAAATTGGTCCTCAAATCAATTAATAGCTACCCAATCTTTTTACTTTTTATTGAGTGCCGATTATTCCATTCAATCACCTTCATCATTCGGACCAATCTAACATTAATATTTTATTCTGACAGCGTTCCGAAATAAGATGTCGTCTGCAGTACTTGGCAATGAATAAGATATTGATGTTTAGTCAGAGTTTCAAGCAGATTTAAGAAAATGTAAAATCTCTGAGACATTTCAAAACTCGTCATTTCTCTCACCGAAGTTTATTCATTTTTAACTAAGAAACAAATTTTTGTATGGTGTACATATTTTTCGTTTACTTGTTTTTTTCCAGGCCATTATATACGAAGGTCAGGATAAAAATCCAGAAATGTGTCGTGTTTTACTAACTCACGAAGTCATGTGTAGGTTCGTACCATTTATGTTTTAATATATATATATATATACATATCAATTAAAGTTCTACGTAATTTCTCAAATACTATTTTACCATTTATTAAGGTTATGTTTGAAACATTTATTTAAGTTTTTTTTAAATATATCATGCTTAGATGGTGTCAAAAAAAATAAAAGAAATTTTATTTGATCCTGGATAATAATACTGGTATTTCTAAACATAAGGGTTTTCATTGAGATTACTATTTTATGACCAAACAAAACGGAACGATTTTCAATAAAAGAAATTCTTCATTTGATCATTTTGACACCATCATCAAATTACAATGCCATTTTGTCTTTTATGTTTACAATTAATTTATATATTTAAAAATCTGACAAGACTATTTTTATTATCTCTACATGCTACTTCAAGATACAGTTAAAAGATGCTGCGCTCCCAGCTGGGATTGTCACACTAAGAAATTAATGCACGTGTAAAGCTTGCAAAATAATTAACTCCCCCTTCGTTACATAGTTTCGACAATTAGTATTTAATCAGTTGCTCTTTGTATTCGTTATCTTCTTTACCCCCTCCTATCGCGCCCGTCTGGGAGTTGACGTTTCACATGCTTCCGTGAGTAATTTGATAATATATACATCTTAAATTGAATTATCACCATAACATAAAACATCTTTGAATACTGATTGCAATGTTCTTGTTAAAAGAATGATCACTGAAAAGGGAAAGTTTAAACAAAATGAAAATCATACAATAAAATCTTCTTTTTTTTATCTTTCCTAAGAAACGTTAAACTCCTTAATAGACCAAAAGATATGTATTTACTTATCTTTTATTTGCTAACTTATTTTTATTTCTTCAGTCGGTGTTGTGATAAAAAGAGTTGTGGAAACAGAAACGAAACCCCTTCTGATCCAGTAATCATAGATAGGTAAGTTTTTAATTTGCACTTGCAGTTTTGTTTTTTGCTATTGTTGCAATGCATGTTTTTTTTTAAATATACATCTGTTAAACGAAAAACAAAGGTGAATATATATTCTAATGATTAGCAGATAAGTCAGTTTGAATTGTCTACGTTTATAGTATTGTTTTAATACTTACATGTTTGAATTGAGTCCTATTCCTGCCTCGGGATTGTTTGTTTACCGATCCTGATTATAAAGACCGTATTGAGTACCAAAAATGCAGGATTCTGTTTAATAAGTTTGGTTTATTATGAGTCCGGGGACTACCGGACTGACTCCTAACAAAATATCTGCCCCAAGTAAAGAATATCGTCAGTAATTTCGCTGTATTTTAAGAGTTTATTCTTATATTTGTAATGATGTAAGATTTCGTTCGTCTTTGTTGAATTCCTTCACATGTTTAAAACTTGTCGCAATGAGAGCTTGCTATGGGAGCTTCTGTCCAAATATTAGATAGTATTGGTGGTAGTCAGATTTCTATTTTTGGTGAACTTTTGTTGTTGTTTGTTTGGTCATTTGAATGCATTTACCAATATTGTCCTAGTATTCACATTCAGTTGATGAATAGTTTGCTTGTTATTTCGAAGTGTCTATAATGCAATACGATAAACAATGTGTAATTTGAATTGCTTTAATATTTGAAAAGTTTAGAATATTTAACAGAATCGCTATTAATAGATACAAACCATATAGTAGTAAATAATTCAAGAGAACAGTAGAAAAAAAACAATGAAGTTTGTTTGACAAGCTTTAATTTCTAAACAAAAATGAAATATTTACAAAATAATTATTGACGAGGAACTACTATTGATTTGGAGATGATAATTATCATGTTTGTCATCGCCAGTCGATTTACTAATGTTTAAAAAGACAGTGACTTTTCAATGTTTTATAAGTTTAAAAGACTACATGAAGCGCGACAATATGATACGATCTAAATGCTTTTCTCTTGATATTTGTCCCGGCACTATAGTCTATGGTCTATGCTTTCATAAGGCGATAAGAGATTATTAAGAAATAATTTACGATCCATTTTACACAGTGGTGAAACAAACAAATCGATGATGAGCATCTTCCATTTCCAGAGTTAATCCTGGTTAATACATCTAGTCTTCTTTATTATCTTATTAACAAACATATTGTATTACAATTGGTTTGGTTTACTGAAATTAATATTAAAAATCATAGGTCAGACAAGAACATTAATATTCCGGGAAAACATTGCGTTAGGACTTCATTTGCACGTAACATGAACTTTTTATTCGATAGACATCATTATTTCGCATTCCTTTTTACAAATTTCAAAAAATCTTGCAATTGAACAAAGAATATTAAACTTAAATTTATCTTTCCCACTGCAACTATTTAATTCAAGAATAATGGAAATAATTAAAGTAATAGTAATATCGTACATGTATATGCATGTACTCATCACAATCGTTAAGACAACATTCATCACATCAAATACAAGTATATTCTATTTGATGATAGTATTATCATAATGAAAAAAATAATAGCCTATATCCTTTAAAATTCCTGAACAAATTTCCTAGAGACCGTCCTATTGGTGGAATAAATCCACTTCAATCTCTAGTAGATCTGAAACGAATCAATTTTCTTTACTTTTTCCATGCACCTTCCAGCATCTTGCTCTTTGATCACTGACACAGTTATAAGGAGTAGATTGTCACGCCTAATACTGGTGGGGAGTTTTTCTTAGTTTTAATAGATATAAAGATCTCTTGGGAAACATTTACTTGTATCCTCCTTAAAGCTAGATTACCTTATCTATCCCGAGGAAATTCTAATAAATTTCAATATTTACGCACCATTTGTCAGCTAGTTCCATCGTATGTAAGGAAACCAAGGAAATCTACTAAACACCAGAAGACTTGAAATCAGGTTGATGTAAGTCTTAAAAGCATCCGTGAATTTTAAACTTAAGTTAAGAATTTTAGTTTTGATGTTATACGCCAAATTATTAATATTCTACGAAATGTATAAACAATGAAAAATATCCATTTATAAAACAAAAAACTTTTTAAATAGAATATTTTGTTTAACTTGTATTAAGACAAATGCAAAAAAAAAAGAAAATAAGTTGTATTGACAGCAAAAATTAAATAAAGGATTATTAGTTTCTATGATTAGATTTTTGAACGCTGATGAATTAGTTCTACAAAATAAAAAGCAAAAGCTTCACATTGAAGAACCAATTTAATATATTTCATTGTCTATAAATCCTAAACACACATTTTAATCAGAAAATTAAAAAGACTTTTGAATGAATTCATAATACCATAAAAGAATAGCGATCGCTTGTGTACACATAATATTAAGGGAAGTCGGTACATTTACTTTGTGTATCACGAATGAGCATATCAGAGCATTATCAATTGGAATGAATTGAAAATGAATTAGTTATGAATCTTTTATACTTCTCTATTGTGAAAATGGATTCCAGGGCATGATAGAAAATGTTGGCATAGATATAGTTATTCCCCCAGGTACTCTGGTTGTTGTTTCGTCTCTCTGTGTTGTAATTCTGTTAATGAAATATTTGACGGGTCCGCTATACTTAACTGCAAGCTAAAAGTATCGATAAATAGGTGTGAGTGAGCATAAGGCGAAAGTCATTTATAGTCTGGGCTTTATTGTTCAAGCTTGTTTTGACATCTGGCTCACGGTACGTCTTCACACGTAAACAATGCTCCACTTATACCTAACGTTAATCATATTTAAAACACAATTTCATTTCATTTTAACACAGATTAATTGATTTGGTGTAAATGTTCAAGAACCAGTACAAGTTATGTAAAAAGGGACATTCAATTCCCCATTTACATTTTTATACTTTGATGTGATGCATTTTTAATTTCAGTACAATCTGTTATGTTTTTTTCTAATATTAAACAATTTGTATTATATTAACATGATGGTTATCCGTTTTTAACGCATAAACACACGCACACACACACACATATATATATATGTATATATTGTTTATAATGCCTTATATTGTAATACGCTCATTATGGGCCCATTTAATGGAAACAAAACACTTTCTTCTACATATATATACTGTTTGCCAAAATATACGTATGCATTAAAAATTGTTACAAACTCAAATACATTTTTGTGGACACTTGTCTATTGTTCATATCCGTATGTTGAACTCTGCTTGTCATATTTTTTGGTTTAGTTGTTCGGTTGCTGTCTTATTGCCGTATCCCCCACATTTCGTTTTATTCACATATTTAGTTACATCCATGTCATTCATCAATAGACGTATTTTAAGAATTTATATATAATAGATCTTTACTCTTAACATTGATGACTTTTTGGGGCATTTTCTGTCAAATTAAGCTTCAAAATAAATGACGTTGATTAAGTTTTGTTGCCACCAGGCTTTAGTCCCGTTAACCATAACTTCATTAATACCGATAGCCGATATAAAGGAATTATTTGTCTGTGTTTTTGTGACGGCAGAATGCTATCTTTTGCACTTTGTCAAGATCTTTGCTGTCTTTCTGTTTTATCTAGATGTGACTCGGCTTTAATTCAACTCTTACGTGATTAAGGGCATCAAAACAAATGAAAAAGTTTGAGGGAGAATATTCGTCCTGACTAGAAGGCATTTAAAGATTCATTATGGCAACTTTACGGAATGATTTTTGACCCGACTGAAAGTAAGATAAGGTTTTTATGGTCTGATTTTAGATAAACAGATTGTTTTCTTTTTTTTTTCCAAATGAAATTTCCGACAATCCTTTTAAGTAGGAATAGCTGGAGACATGAAGTAAAATGTATAACAATACTGCTCGCTCTTAAATTTGTTTATTAAAAAGTTTCATTGGGGCACATAATTGAGTAATATAATATTTTTCAGCCTTTGATTTGCTGCTAAAATTACATAAAGAACGTTAAATATAGATTAATTCGTTTTGACATGTACTAATATAAGCATAAACAATGGAAATATGACCTTAAACATTTTTTATGATAGTTTTGACATAAATCATAATTTTAGTGCGGACAGTAAATTCTTATTTCGTCGTTTCATCTGACCTCATTGCTTTAACATCCTTAAAACTTGAATGATATTTGTATCTTCAGTAATAGCTGTGTAATTAGATTAGTTAGAACAATATCATATTAATTGACAAAAATGAACATTCACTGTTTATAGAAAATGGAATTATTTTATTGTCCGGTTCATCAAGTTCTCTTTTCTGGTAGTGCGATCGTTTATAGCCTTCCATAGCTTTCATCGAGCCAATTTACAAGTACTTAAATGGAAACCAGGATCTCTGAGTCGTCTGACCATGCTTCAATAAAAATTAAATAACCGACAAATTACATCTGACAATATAACTTCAATGTTTTAAACAAAAAAAAGATAGCTTCAAGTCTTAGCAGAGTCTGTCATGTCCAATGGCATAAAACTGCTGAAGAAAATGTTATTTCATAAATTTTCACAATTTATCCTGAACGCACGACGGTTGAGGGTTTGATTACTTTACGATAATAGCCATAAAGCAAAAAATGAAGTACAATGACTAAATAAATTAACAAATAAAAAACAATAAAGAATTAAATAATAGAAAAAAAATGAAAATGTTCATATAAATAGAGAAAAAAGGGACAAATAGTATTTAATAGACCACATCTTCAATTTTCGGTGAAGATATTATAATATACAGATTTGACCACTCCACCTTGATATAGATCAAATTTTCAAACTTTATGATGCGAGGTTTACCGAGAATTCTATTTTTTTATGTGTATCTATCGAGAGTGAATACATAATGTAGTCAACGGGTTGAAGTGGTGGAATCTGTTTCTGTAATGATTTGATGGAAAACGCAGAGTGCAACAACTTATCAAAGTGGTCATAACCGTTTTAAATGCATACAGAATTAGAGAAATATATATATAAATATATAAACAAGATATTTAAATATGT